TATCTGGAGCGGATAGTCCCGTCTTCAAAAGTCAGGCGGATTGTTCATTCAAAATTAAAACTATTCCATTTTCAGATTAAGACGTATTACCTATCTGACGCGAATCAACAAACGGATAACCCGTCTCACACGAATAATCCTTCTCTAGTGTGAAAACGGCCATTTCTGTTATAATGAATGTCGCGTCCCGGGCCTTGAGTTGGGCGTTTGCGTGTCTGCTTTTGCTTTTTCACGAAGATTATTTTTAAATTGACTATTAACATTTCTATGTGTAAAATAATGTATTAGAAGTGGAATACTTTATAAAAAGTATTCAACCTTTTGATATATAAAATATTAAACTTTTTCAAAAGAATAGCTTATTTCATCCCGAGATGATCCGAAGACCTTTATTTTGATTTAAAGACACAAAAAAATACGGGTTAATTAATATTTAACTTTTTGAAACAAAAGAAGTTAATTTTTAACTTTTTCGTTAACCGTAACTGAAAAAAATTAACCGATAGCCGTAAAAGAGCCAAAATTTTAGCCGATAACCGTAAAAGCCACCACCCCATTGGGACCCTCTCCCAGCGCGAAGAGCGAGGAGAAACGGATGTTTTCGCAGGCTACAGTTAAATTAGTTTTTTAGAAAACTGAATATTTTGAAGATGCTGTCAAACTAACGCCTAAAGTATAACATTGCGATTAGGAGCCGAGCTCCTGATTGCGATCAATTAAAGGATTGCGCTATATTGAAACATTTCGTCCATCTTACCTAGGTGGCATGATGAATGGTTCCCATAGCAACTCGTTTGAAGTATACAATCCAGTCAACAACAAATGGAAGTTTCTCTCTCCTCCCACAATCCAGCGAACTTGTCATGCTATGGTTGCTACGGAAACACACATTTACGTCATCGGTGGAGAAGGCCAGGGTATAGAGCCGGAAGTCAGCATGGAGCGATATGATCCAGAGGTAGACCTCTGGAGCTTTGTATTACCGATGAATTGTGGAAAAGTTGGTGCATGCGCTGTACAACTGGAGGGAAAAATTTACGTCATAGGCGGAAATAATGGATACAATACACTTCGACAGTGTGAGGTTTATGATGTACAAACCCACCAGTGGAGCATGGCTAAAGGTATTTTCAAAAATGACATGTTTTTTTACTAGGCTTATACTGAGTATTCTAATCATTTGAGTCATGGAGTGTACTGATGAGTAAAGCAGTTCATTTAAACATATTAGAAACCTTTAGATTGCACTACGAGGACGAGATTAATTTTCACCAGAAAGATCAAAAGGTTATTTTTCATTGAAGGAGGTTAATTCTTCTCTCTATTGCAAAATGACAAAACATATCACTTTAATTTTAACAACATTTTCCTGTTACTTCGACAATTTCACTGGAACCTGTAGAAGAATGACGACAGTAAAAGCTCGCGCTCAACTTAGAATCGAAATCTCGTTCTCGTTGTCGTATTTGTCTCAGAATCTAAAGATCGCTTTTGTTCGGGCTAGCGACCGCTCAGTATTTCCTGCAGTCGCTGAGGAATATTAGTTATGCGGACGATACACAGTTGTATTTGTCATTTAAGCCCGCTGACTCTTCCAGTGAAGTCGAAGCTGTATCAGCCATGCAGACTCAGCAGCTCTCAAAAGTTTCAATCCAAAGCATCAAGACTGGGCAGACTGAAGTCTCTCCTGTAGCCTCTGCGCGCAATTTAGGCACATGGTTCGATACGCATCTAGATATGGCAACTCACATTACAAAGACTTGTAGCAGCGCTTTCTATTATTTATACAATATACGTCATATTAGGAAATATTTATCCAGAGAATCAACTGAGAAATTAGTTCATGCTTTTATCAGTAGTAGATTGGATTATTGTAATAGCCTTTTATATGGAATCCCGGAATTTGCAACTTGTTATGAATGCGAGTGCAAGACTTATATATCGCGCGCACAAGTTCTGTCATATAACACCTCTACTCGCAGAATTATATTGGTTACCAGTGCGCTCCAGGATACATTATAAGATACTCTTGATAACTTTTAAAATTTTGCATGGCCTATCACCTAAGTACCTTTCAGATTTAATTAGTATTCAACAGCCTTCGTCCTACAATTTGAGGCGCAACGACAATGGTCGTTTGTTGGAAAGACCAAGTGCGGAAACCAAAAAAAACCAGTGGGAGACAGAGCTTTCCAGGTAGCTGCTCCTTTCCTATGGAATAAGCTGCCAAGGTCCGCGCGCGAAGCAACGAACTTAGAATCTTTTAAGACTTTAATTAAGACATTTTTATTTAAGGAATCATTTCAGTTATCTTAGTATATCTATATATATATCTATAATATTATATATTTGTAATTATCTTTTACCCATTTAAATGTAAATATTTTTAAGATTTATGATGGAAAGATTTGTAAAGTTTAGTTATTAATTATTATTGTGATGCGCTTTTGAATATTTTCTAGAAAAGGCGCAATACAAATAATAAATATTATTATTATTAAAGCAGAAAGTGAAATCGACGGGGTGGTATATAAGACGAAAGGCTGATTTGCATATCACAACTTGTGTAAACGTGTTTAAGGTAATGTTTAAATACAAGAAACGATTTGCGACGACGATTTTTAAGAGCGACAATGTTGGAACAATGTTAAAACAAATCGAAACAATATCGTTAAACTTATAAAGATGCAACTCTGTGTTGCTCTGAAAATCGTCGTTGCAAATCGTCTCGTGTAACATCGCCCTAAAACTTTTATCTTTGGCAAACTAATTTGGCAAGATGGGTAATATTTTCCAGGTTCCATTTATAGCTCGGGCTGTGTCATTCACCACAATTGGGGCTATAAATTAATCAAATGAGTTGCGTATAGCTTTTTCGTCTAGATCACTGATTTATATTGTATGCTTTATTTCTAGAAATGAAAGAGTTTCGTCAAGATGCCCAGGCCGTCGTTATTGGCAAGAAAATTTACGTCATCGGCGGCCGAGACTATAAGGGAGAGAGGGTTCTAGATTCCGTGGAGTGCTTTGATGTATCAGAGGGGGAGTGGGAACGAGTTACGACTGTGCCATTAGCAAGAGAAGGCTTTCGTTGTGTTTCTTGTAAAATAAGTCGAAATCACCTCCTTCCGATAAAGCTCAGATAACCTTTATCACATCCTTTCCAATTTCTATATGAGCTGTAATAGAAACAGGGTAGCCATTGCTAGGCTTTTCTTGACAGTTCAAGAAACCAAAATAGATCGAACATATCCAAATTCTATCAATTTCAGCTTGACGGATACAATTTTTTCAAGGGAGACAAGGTTTAAGGGGCCGACCATTTGACTTTTGAGGGGGAGGTATGGGTGAGTTGTGATCACATGGCAACCCATCGAGCCCATCCTGGTGGCGTGATACCGCGATAATAGTCATCTTTAATACTAAGATGGTTATAAGGAACCCTTTCATGAAATTATCAAAATTCAAACATTAATAGCTGCCGGGCCAATTTGAGAAAAACATGAAAATAGCCACTCAAAACATCATAGAAGAGGGTATGAATAACACAGGAAAAAAATACAAATTGAAGGCACGGTGTGACGGAAGGTTTTTCCACTTTCGAACGATTTTAACACTCAACGGGAACTCGACGCTTTAACTATCGGTTAACTGGGGGAAACTAGACTCAATTGCAACTCGCTTGCGGGAAAGAGCCGTCACTTCTCTTGAGGTCCGAGATCAAACCACTAACTGGTACAGCAAAGGCAAACTGAACTTTGGTTCCAACAGCGTTTATTCTTGTACACGCAGCGTAACTTAGCTCACAAATGTAATCGGCGATGTAATGGAAAAATCAGTTCAAAGCAACTTACTTATATATGATTTTTACAACCATTGAAGACAAAAGAATACAATAGAAA